CGGTCCGTCGTGGTGAAGAAGGAGCTGAGCTGTAAGGCGAAGCTCTCGATTTACTGGTCAATCTACATTCCGACTCTCACCTATGGTCATGAACTTTGGGTCATGACCGAAAGGGCAAGATCCCGGATACAGGCGGCCGAAATGAGCTTTCTCCGCAGGGCAGCCAGGCGCACCCTTAGAGATAGGGTGAGGAGCTCGGTCACCCGGGAGGAGCTCAGAGTAGAACCGCTGCTCCTCCACATCGAGAGGAGCCAGCTGAGGTGGCTCGGGCATCTGTTTCCTCTTGGGCGCTTTCCCAGGGAGGTGTTCCGGGCATGTCCCACCGGGAGGAGGCCCCGGGGAAGACCCAGGACACGCTAGAGGGACTATGTCTCTCGGCTGGCCTGGGAACTGTTGCATACTTCAGACGTTGGATTTTATGATGGGGACGCAGGTAAGGTTTTCTTCTGCTGACTCTTCCATGAAGGTCGTGTCTGTGCAAGCATCGCGGCACAGTGGAATGTTATTTGTTTTATTGATTAATTTGTAGGCTCTTTGCTACTCTAATTCTTCCAGAATTGTCTAGGCCCTCCACACTGTACACACTCTTGCTTAGGGATCCAGCTTCACCAGTGCAGTTTGAATCCCCATTTTCATCTCTTCTGTTTTTATTAGACATGAAAATGCATGATTGTGAACTGTCATGAAAATATAATTTTAAAAAAAGCCTCTTGTGTGGGCATATCAGGTATATGAATTATCAGCTTTGGTTTATAAGAATACTTTTCTAACTGATTCAATGATTATGATTTAGATGTAATGATCTGATTTATCTGGCTGTTCCTGCATGCTACCTCAGTTACACCATCTAAATATGGATCTACAGAACCTTTAGTGCTCCTTAACATTATGCATGACTAATAATAAACCACAAGTGCTCCAGTGACACATTCTGTATCCTGCGTGCATATAATAAACATGTTCAGTGTAGTTAAATTATTGTCATTTTGTTGCATTGACTAATAGGTGTTCTGTGCATCAGTAGGGAAGGATTGCCTAAAACAGTGCTACTGCCCCGATCAGTGTTTATTTGTACTTTGTCATCTGTAACTCTAATATAAACTGTAATTTTTGCAAAATCATGTTTAGTCATTGCACCCTATTTTGTATATTCTTGTTGTACATAATGACAAAAATTATCAATAAAATTAATAAACAGTTCATCAGTGTTACTGTACCATTTATACATATTTCACTGAGGTATCAAATTTAGAATGGTGTGAAACACATGTTAAAAAACTAGGCATGGACTCCTAAACAATTCTGTATCTAAAGCAGATAAACCTACAGATTACAGTATTTGTACAGTTTTCTTGAGCCCTAAGTGATGCCTGCAAATTGCTTCTTGTGTCCAACCAACACCCCAAATCCATGAACATTTAGTCTACTGTCTACCATGATCTGTGCCCACTGACTCTAGTATTTATTGGACTTGTTTATTTGTTCATGTTCTTTGTTCACTTCGCCTGTTAATTATGTTTCTTTGGTTGTTTTAGCTGTAGTTTATATTGGGTACATCTCATATCTCTTAGGGTTGTTTCCTTCACTTGTGTCTTAGTCCCACCAATGTAAGATGTTAGGAGAAAGGACTTGGTGAAACACATTAATAGGAACAATCTTATAAGAGGCATACCCACTGTCTTATTTCATGTTACACAGCTGAAAGTTGACAAAGGACAAACCTTAATAATAATGCAACTATTCCAGTTTTTAAGAATAGTAATATCATGGTGTTTAAAAAAAAAGTTTGCAAGTGCAAAGATGCTTTTGTAATTTTGTGTAACTCTACTCAAAAGGGAGATTGACAGGCGGATCGGTGAAGCTTCTGCAGTAATGCGGTCGATGTACCGGTCCGTCGTGGTGAAGACGGAGCTGAGCTGTAAGGTGAAGCTCTCGATTTACTGGTCAATCCACGTTCCGACTCTCACCTATGGTCATGAACTTTGGGTCATGATCGAAAGGGCAAGATCCCGGATACAGGC